GAGTTCAGCAGAATTACGCTACAAGTGAATCGGGCCCATATGCTTAGAGATGTAACAAAGCCAGAAAAGAAGTTTCTTATTGAGAGCTCTTATACAGTAAAATTTGGCACGGCACTTTCCAAGAGACAAAGCACCTTTCCTGATAACTACTACGTTATGATTTTGCAAGCAAAGGATCCCGTGCTTTCTCCATCGCTGACGAAGGAAGCCTTTAAAACCAGTCCCAACGTTTTGTCAGGCATATAGAAAGCGTTTTTCAGTAACTTATCCTAGGAAGCCAAACTGGAACAAAACCCTGGTTTGGAAAGACTTCTTGAATTCTTGAGGTTTACTTATTTGGGCGGCACAGTCCTCAAGGAAAGAAAAAATCAATACAACAAGGGGACAAAAAAAAAAGTGCTTGTCAATAAGCTTTTCCGCTAGCTAAAAGTAGGGGAACCGACTAGTTTTTACATTTCATTGTCTTTCAGTCTCCACTAAACACTACAATTCTATCCTTTCAGGAAACAGTGTATCTGTGCGAGACACACTGTAACTTCAAGTCCAGCAAAAAGTCCCCAGGTAGTCTCAAAAGGAATGTATCTTGCTTTTTTTGTTCATCAAATAACCTGCTACAGGTAGAAACTAAGTTCTTCAGACAATATATACAAATTCATAAAAGTCAGAAACAAGTTGCAAGCTCAGTGACATACAACATCATTCAAAAAAACCCCAAACTTGTGTTCTATATACAGACAGACCGGCTGCTAAGTGCATTATGTAAACTGCTGCATGCAAATAGTACAATCTATGGTTGTCTAAGGAACTGAACTATAAACAAACAGGCTTCAGCAATTTAGTTTAACAAGGACTCTCTCAAGCATCTGCTGAAAGGTATTTGTGTTTTAGAACCAACCAAATCTGCATTCTTAATGCCATCTTCCTCTGTGGTATAAGAACACTTCTGGAGATGCAAATAGGGCAGCATCCCGTTTTAGTCAGCCAGTTCACAAGGACTCGACCCTGCTTCCTTCAAGGAATTGAAAGCAGATTTTGGTCAATGTTCGGTACCTTTTAAAAATTTCATCCTTACAACACAGACTTTGTTTACAAAATAGCACCAGACAGGAATAGTCACCACAAGGGGAAAAAAACCCCAAACCATTAGAGTTGCTACATTCATTCAGCAGCTAAATCTCCCATTCATTTCAAGAGTTTTAGGTACTAAAACCAGAGTTGTGATCCTTAAGCTCAGTTCACGGAAGAAGGAAGAAACTTTACTTGCTGTCATTAATGAGGCATTGCCTTGTGTTTTTCTTCTGTAAAGAAGTTAGCCAACAGAGGAGAATCAATGCAATCCAAATACCTTAAAAAAAAAAACCAAACTTGGAATATAAAATGTGAACAGGTCTGCTTTCATGTTCTTTGCCCTTTCCAAATACCACCTGGAACAGTGTCTATCAAATATTACATACAGCAGAAAAAATGCATTCTTGATTACATAAAACATTGAAACATGTAAACTATTTTAAAAAAGGGAAAAAAATGAAATGGCAAAACCAACTCTTAAGATTGCTACCACAGACTAAACCTGAAAACACCGATAAATGCATTTCTACCTTCCCCCTTGTCCCGCCTTTCAGAAAAGCGGGCAAAGGAACAATTTCTGCCATAGACTAGCTGAAAGTTTTCCATGTGCCAAGCACTTCACCTGGGGCAAAACACACAGTTGTGTGGCAGAGTTCAGTTAGTCTAAGCTGTATCTAATTTCCTCCAGAAAAATCCACTGAAGAAGTGTGTAAACCGTACTCTCAGCAGAGCTGACAGCACCCCCTGACCAATGACTGTTAGTCATCTCTTCCATCAGCACTGGAGGATAAGCCCAGGACAAAGTACAACAGACAAGCTTTCCTTCTACAAAGTATGTTCTTCTGGTGACTATGAAGCCTTGAAAAAGGAAAATGCTGAGACATACACTGTTATTAACATTTCATACATGGATTTTCATATACTAGGCCTTCTGATTCCCTGGAAAATGCTGAGACATACACTGTTAATATATTAACATTTCATACATGGATTTTCATATACTAGGCCTTCTGATTCCCTTACAAACTTTCCATCACCTCCAAAGGGAGCTGTGCGTCCCTATCCAGGTAAAAGAATATTACATACCAGATTAAAAAAAACTTACACAGACAAAGAAGAGTAAATGTTAAACCATATATTAAACTATATTTCCATATCATGATTCTTTGAGAGCTCAAAACGGACTGGAAGAGTTAATTTTTAAGTATACATCCAATGTGATTCCTTATTTTTTCCACTCTATCCCTCATGACGTCTTTCCCTCTACCTATTTTAACGGTCAGGATGAAAATACTGTGTGTATACATAAACTAATTACATTTAACCCTGTAAAAACTAATCCAAAACTTCATCATTCTTTATGATTTCTGTATATTTAGGCAACTCATCTTCTACACATGCAAGATACTTTCCAGAACATCAAAGAAAAAAAAAAAAAACTTTCCTATTTCACAGCTTCCCCCAAAGAGCTGATTATGTTGGCACCTTCATAAAAGTCACTTTTGGATATGCAGCTTACAAGGTTAAAAAAACCCAACAGTTGACCAAGGCATTAGTTAAAATAAGTCACCTTGTGTTTGTGTATGCAAGCCGTAATGCCAAAGGGAATGTCAAGAAATATCTAAGGCTTCCATGAACAATGACGTTTCACCAAGTTTTCCCCCTTTGACACCTCCAAAACTGGAGTTGTTTCTCCTCTTTCTAATTATGCAGAATTAGAAAATTATTCTGTAGAAGTGACAATAACACAGAATAGCAAAAATACATACGGTCCCTCAGTGTCCTCAGTAAGTGCAACATTTTTAGCCAGACGGTGGTCCAGTTTCTCCCAGGTCTTGCATAAGCTAATACAGCACTGCCACAAAGGAGACCTTACCGTTCCCTTACACCTAACCACTGCCCCCGGAGTGCAGAACCCAACAACTGGTTCACAGACAGAAACAATTTCTCTCTCAAAAGCCCAAAGAAAATCTCTTTGAAGGTTTACACACAATCATTTTCTGTAACAGACGGACAGTCAAAGAACCAAGCCCTAGGAACTGTGATCTCCAAGCACGGCAGACTCGGATCCATGCTGTGCACCTTCAGAGGACAAGGGTACGGTCGCGTAGCCCACACCCTTCTGTGCCCAGTTAATTACATGTTGCAACACACTCATGCACCTGCATCACTTCCAATATCCAAGCACACTCCTGCTCGAAGATCTAATTATGGACATGGTTGTGCTATAAACATGCTGTAACTAGACCGAGTTAGAAAGACAGCACAGTAAGAATCTATGACCTCCGCTGTAGGGTTTTGGGTGTTTTTTTTAATGTTCTCATGTATGCAAGGCACTGTCAAATGTCAGCTTGACTGCAGTGACAGCTCTTTTGAGAAGTCAGTATCCTAGAACTCTTCTTTTGGGGATGGGGAAAGAGAGGTGATGGCTACTGTAGACACAGAGGCAAGTTTCATTTTTCCAAGGTGAACTTCACCACTGGGCTGATGGCTGGTACCAGTCCAATACACCATTTATGTTCTAAATAAAGGTTATTTTGAGGCCTCAAAATACTGGCCTCATGCCGAGCTCCTCAGTAGTGGTAAATGTCAGCTCAGAACTCGCCCTTCCAGTGCTCACTGCCAAATGCAGTATTAGCAAACTGAACTGAACCCTAGAAGTCACAACCTTCACCTTTTATTTTACTAGTGTCCATCACAAATCGCACAGCAAAACAGATTTCCCTTGGTAATGACCTTCTGTCATTAAAACAACAACATACACTGGCTAGGCAAGATACAAACCCTATTGCTTGCCCGGTCTTCAAGTGGAAAGCATAACCTAGGTAATAGCACATTTGCCAACAGGGAAGAAATACAGCTTTTTATCCACATCTAATTAGAATGTGGAATATTGGACATACAGAGAAAAAACAACAACAAAAAGCACCCTCAAACCCCTAACATATGTCAAGAAATAGTTTAAGTCATGGCATTCCCTTTTAATACTTAAACCTGTAGACAGGAGTAGTAGTGGCCCACCAAATGCACGCATGTCTCGAAAGCCATGTAGATCCGAGTCCCACAATGACAGCAGCATCCTTGTGGTGGCAAAAGCCACATCACCAAGTCTGCTGCCGTAACCCGGCAGTGCAGTCCTGGAAACGATGTTCCCAAATCACATGCCCTTTGGAAATTCTTATTTAGTAAAGGCGGCTACTGGTTCCACTTTATGCCTTACCTGAGAAAGCAGGGGAATTCAACCCCAGGGCAAACAAGCACCAAAGCTTGCTTGAAGCTCCCCAAGATCTGAATCCTGTAAGTCCTTGTTTCAGTGTATATGTAAATAACCTAATTCATGGCCAGCAGCTCCAAATAAATGACAACAACAAGTCACTGACTTGGACACTGGTTTCATGGAATGCATCTCTGAAACACTGACAAAACTACTCCTGTTGAAGTCAACAGAAGTATGAAAGGCAACTGCTTTCATCCTTCTCGTGGCATCGTATCCATACACACATGCTGCCTCTACTGACCCCATTTCTTCCTCTCTGCAAAGTAAGGACTCAATCCTGCTTTTTAGAAAAAAATTCGAAGACTTACCAATGCATTCAGCAAAGTGAGTTTAGAGCAACACCCTCCCACACCACCCCCCGCGCAACATCCACAATCTTCAGAATTAATTTAATGGAAGCCAGTTATTAGCACATCCGTGTTATGTTTGAAAATAAAGTGCATAATGATTCTCACTGAGAACTTTGCTGATTTCTAGTTAGCATAGTTAGTGTCAGCCCTCAGCAACATCAATAAAATACTAAATAGAACATAAATTGGTAACATGAGTCAAAATCTGAAACAGCACAGATTAAAAACAAGTTTTGTATAAATGCAGGAAAAATAAAAGAGAGAGGAAAGAGAAACAGAATCCCTAGTTCTTTGTGGAACTGAGGCTAAACAGCTATCCCAACATGCAGCATCTGAAATGAGGGATCGCAGTCTGTTTGCTTCCCTTCTACGATTCCTGAATTCAGTTTGCAGCTCTCTGGTGCCTGACTGATTTCACCTCGAGCAGGGGAAGATGTATCTTGAGGGAGATCTCCAGAGACGGTGTCAGATGAAGAATCATGGCTTTCTGCTGATACAGCCATTTGTGGCCAGCTACCCTCTGTTTCACCATTATAATCCATCCCCTCATCGTCCTCCTCCAGTTGCTGCACGGATTTCAAATACTGTTGTATTAGTCTGTTGTCCTGCTCATTACCAGAGCTCTCTCTGCTTTGCTCACATTCTCCACGGCTGTCCTCTACATCTGAGGAATACGCTGAAAAGGAATTGCCACACTGTTTGACAGTTTCCACTGAGAGCGAGCTCTCCGTTCCTTCCATTAAACTCCTGTCAGAGCTACACAAGTCACTGGCATGACTCCAATCAGCCACGGAGGAATGGAAACCAGAGTCTGGGAACTGCAACACAGACCTCTCTGGAACATCGCTAGCTGGAAGTAACCAAGCAGACCTAACATCTGGGGGGGGTTCCTGCTCCAGTGTGGATGATGAAACAGGTGGTTCAGATGGGCAGAAAATACTGGCTGAAGGCATCCCAGGTTGCCAAGCGGCACCCAAGTTCTGTGTCACTGAAAGCTGCCACTGCTGAAGGGATTTAACCTGTAAAACAGAGAATTTCGTTAAGAAATGCAGTTAAGTACTCTGATTTGTAAAGTATTTATTGCAATCAGCAACAAAGCTCTAGTATGAAACTTAAGACCACGTGAACTAACAAAAGGTTTGCTATACCTTTAGGGAAAATATGTTCTTCCCACTGTTAAAGAATGGCTTTTACACCTAGATGCCCAGCACCGACAGAGGACACAAACCTCCCAATTCACCTATCTTAAGAAAAAAGGATCTGCTCACAAAGCCACAAAGGGTGGGCAACCTTTATGAAATAACCCATGCTTAAGAAAACAGTCATTTTTGGAAGAATATCTTATTAGGAGATGTATGAATTCACACCTTTTCTACTTCAGAAACAAGTTGCTCACAAGCAACGTAGCTTGACAGCATTTAATTTGCCCTGGGCAGCTAGCAGTCACACCACTCTTCACAATGCTGCTATGTTTGTTTAGCTTCCCTTGCATTTTGTTGTCCTCACACCAGGTTGTAATGTAGCCTTTTGTACCAAAACCAGTGTTACTGCGCTAATACTCCTGAATGTTGTTTTCCCCCAGAATATCAGTAGAGCAAACAACACAGCAATTAGATTCTAATAAGCCACATAAGCCATCACTTGATTAAAAAAAAAGAACCATATTGACTATCTCTTCAGGATCTATCATATGAAACAATGCCTTTCAAATTCGTTATGTAAGCAGAAAAATAAGAGGACAAACTACCTGGTTCCAAAGAAATCTGACAGCTTCCTCCTGTACAAGCCTCTGAATCTTATCTTCTTCTCTTTCTTTTCTTAGCCTGCAAAAACACACATCCAAATTTATGCAGCTTAGATAAGCAACGTTTGGGTAACAAGATCAACAGGAACACATAAAAATGTCTGCTTATATAACAGCACTCTTGAATGACACAACAGAGCCTAACACTAAGGCATTACTGCAGCCTGGAGTGCCATCAGCATCCAGCTGCTGACTCCAAGTTTCTTTTTCAGAGTTACATTAAGAATCTGCTTCCTCTTGCTGCAGCCCATTTATCGACTTGCTAATACTTTAAGTATCTTTAGTGAACTGAACCTGAGCTCTTCATTTTAAGTAGATGTGCTTCTTTCCCTGCACAAAAAAAAAAAATTCCAAAATAGTGCTTCTTCATTTCCAACTGTGCTCTCTCCAACGGATACCACTTGGCTGTAGGTATGATGGGTAAGCACTGGGGGTTTCTAGAGGTTCACTGAGGGCTCAACTTGATTCACAGAAGTTTTGTTGCTTGTGACAGTAAAGGAAAAGAGCTTGTCAGACTGCCAGTTCCCAGGCTGATCCTGAAAGATATTAACTAAATATGAAATTTGTCTCTTACAAATTAAGGAATTTTGATCCTATGATTCGGATAAGATAATTGGAGGAGATAATTATCAAAAAACCCAGAACCAAGAACAGAATCGCATTTTAAAATTGTATCATGCAAGGCAGAAAGAGAATTACTCTTTTTGCCAGTAATAGAGGAATGACTGTCAATGCGCACAGTACATTGACAGACTCTGTAATTGCTAGGAGACAAAAAAAAAGATACTTAATTTCTATTTTGGTTATGCAGTGAAACATGCAAGTCCTGCTAATAATGGAATAGAAAAATTTATTCAAACCCAACCCCCTCATAGATGGCACTTAAGGATTACGAACAGCTATGTGCATAACCATGCTTGTCTTACAGGAAGCGATCTACGGTAATGACAGATTTATGCTACTGATGACAGGTCCTGTGGTGAGTAGTTATACCAAGATACAATCATACCTGCTATGAAATATCCTGGAACAAGGGTTATATTCATTCAGACTTGAAACTATACAGTGTGACCCCAACTTACTTTTCTATTTCATCAGTTAAGCAAATGATGTGCTGCTGCATCCTGTTCAGGCGAATTTCGTATCGCACTTCTTTGGCTTGGGGATGGTAGTTCCTTGTGTAAAATCCTCTCCAGCAGGCTTGAAGCTTGGTAGCTGCTTTAGCCATTCTCTGCAGTTCAGCTGCACCTTGGTCAACAACAGCTAACGAATCGGACCTTTCTCCAGCCACATGATCAGAACAAGGAGCTGTAACTCCCGATTCAGCACCTACTGAGGTGCTGGGGTGACTACGCAGAACTTGGTCTTCAGAGGGTGCTGAACCATCACTGGTATAAGCAGTTGGGCTGGCTGTTACCACATCAGAAGGCAATGGCATACTCCCTTTGTTATTCTCTTGAGTTTCCACACTCACCACCCCTCTGTTGGAGTGCTCTCTTGTAAGACATGAAGCTTCTTGCTTGTTAGCGGTTTCTCCGCTGTTAACATCTCTCACGCATTCAATGACTGTATCATCATCCTGTTCTAGGCCCAAATTGATTCTGTGAAGCTTCAGGTCTGAAGTGGGAGACACTGGAGACAGTCCAGAAGCAACTGGCATGAAAGTAGACTCTGAGGATAAGAGGCTGCTGTTCAGTTTGTCTTCATCTGTCTGTATATCTTCGAGGTATAGCTCCTTGCAAAAGCTTCTTTCATGAA